TTTGCATTTCGCAGCTACTTCGTATTCCGCACACGAATGCTTTTCAGAATAACAATTTGCCAAAAAAAATGTTAATGCACACACACACACTCACACTCATATAAATGAAGAGAAATGTGTCCTCTGCGCCAAAGACTCACTTGAAGCGGTAAATCGCTAAATCTTCGAATGATAAAAATGATTTATTTGAACATTTATTGGGCATCAAATGAGCGGTGATTAATGGCGGCCTAATGCCAGTGACTACCGAACGATGTCGATTGCTGGCAAGCATTGCTGCACCGAGACACCACACTCTCACACGCAGACACGTGAACTGCGAACGGATTGAATGATGCATGCCGTCGATAATTCGATCAATGCAACGCTGCGATCGCTGATTAGAAATGGCTTAAATTGACACCTATATACATATTTGGATTTTGGATGGTTTACTCAAACATAACAACAACGGAGACACAAAACCACAAAAGAACGTGTCGGCATAAAGTCTTTAATGAGTAATGAAATTTTGGTTAACCATAAATGAATTTCTTTGTAAATGTGTGCTTGAATTGAAATTAAAACACACATACGAGGGCGATCCGATAAGCAGTCGGCGTACAAAAAAAAAAAAGGATGACCATATTGGAAAAAAGGGGACATATTGCTCAACATATCCTCCTTTTAGTTCGATACACTTGACTCCTCAGAGTCCTAAAAAAAATAAGTTTTCTAAAGTTCTTGGAGGAGGAGTCTTCTATCGGAAGGTCTCAGCAAGTCTTTAGACTTTCACACTGTCAATCCACTGTTGTCTCTTTCAAGCAGAAGTGGTAGCCATTACAGTAACAGCATATGTACTTCTCTGTGCCTTTTTTTTAGGGAGGTATGGATCCACTCCAATAGCAGAGCTGTAATACAAGCCGTGATCTCGCTGACGGTAAGTTACGATAGCACACAGTGGAGAAAAAAGGTCCAGGGAACTACTGGCTCTTAACAACGTTCACATTTGGAGGTCTCATCTTATCAAAGCTTCAGGGAGATAGAAAATGTGGAAACATCTAGACGCTTCTATCCAGCTTTCTCTATATTAAGGTTTAAATTTCTCGATTGCAATACTTTCTACGAATCTGGTGAATTAGCTGGAGTAGAAATTAGTCGGCTCAATTAATTTGTGAATGTCTTGTGAATGATGTTTCTGACCTATACATAGAGTTACTGGGCATCACAACGGGAAAGCGTTCGAATAACATCATTCGTAGCCTCACGAAAAACTTAATTAGTTAAATCAATTTTGACAGTCGCCATCGAAGAAAAAGTGTAAATTTTTACAACATCCTAGTGTTCTTTGATTTCACTCTGCAAATTTAAACCCGCAGAGTCGATCCCTTCAACACGTGGTCGAAACAAAATTATGATTCCAATTCCGCTTGGGACTTTAGTATTCTACGAGATTGTACACATATACATACATAAATGTTTACACAGAATTTTAAATATTTTATAGTGTGAAGCGTCTGCTAATGTCTATGCTTCCTACTGCAGTCTAGTAGACCACACGACACGTCTTATTATTCCCACCCAAAAATTCAACAAGCAACGTCATAATATCTGTGTGCAGTTGTGGTCACTATAGTCATCATCAAGATAATCATCATCAAAGTCAGTCATCATCGCCAGCGTAAAAGTCCTCACTGTTGGTTGTGTTGTGTTTTCATGGGATTTTTAATTTTGTTTGGATATTTCGACGGTGCCGTAGTAACATGATGATGATGACGCTACAGTTGAACGCTCGCCTGGCCGAAATTTTTTATTTAAGTAGCGTGCGCCCAACTCATGCCAAATTACTCTAGCGACAACCACCGACACGATCAGAACGCATCAAAACGCGGCAAAAAGAAAATTCTTATTTTGGCACAGTTTATTTCCAAAAACAAGTGCAAATAATAAAAAGTTTATTACCAAAAAACAAAAAAAAGTTGGAGCGTAGAAAAGCGAAATATTTACACAAACGTTTGTGAGCGAAGTGAAATATTTGGAAGAGAAGGTGATTTCAGAAACCACATAATAATGACCATTTAAAAATTAATAAAATCGCAAAGCTAAATAAAAAATAATAATAATATTATTTATAATAATAAATCGACTTTTGATATCGTAACATATGTATATGCTGGAATGTAAAGGAAACAGTTTGAAAAACTATAAAATCGATGTCTATGTGCTAAAAGTGTATAACAGATCTAAAATAAGAAGAAAAATTAATTCAAAACCAAAAAAAAAAATCCGAACAAAACCAATTTGGAAACAGTTTTTTTTGTTATTTTACATATAATTAGAGTGCGGAAGTTCGAAAGTTCTAAGAAGTTTTGTGTTACTGCGATAAATTTCCTTAATCCTGAAATTTTCAAGAGCAGCCCTGCGAAGAAGAATGATTGCAGCACGAAAATAATTAGCTCCCAAAGCGCTCAGCTTATCCTCGAGACAAAGATCACTTTCCATTTGAGAAAACGAATCGCACCCTTTATAACTAGGTTTGGTTAGGTTAGATGGCTGATCAATGACCGCACGTACTCTGGTATATGTAGTCCTTTGTGAAGCCGTAGAAAATAAGAACGTCTGTGTTGGGATTTACAGATTGGCAAAACGCTTAGTAGCCCTACAAATTTGCAAAGGCGCTTGATTTCAACTCCCGCCCGTTCGGTGGGATGTCTGAAGGTATGCGCCCCCAAGTGTTTAAGTCTTGACCTCTCAAATGCGGGACAGTCTACAAGGAAGTGTTGAGTTGTTTTCACATCATATTTTTCCAAACTGCTTCTACAAACGGCGTCTGGTAAGATTCCCAATCTTGCAGCATCGACACCAATAGGGAAATGGCCTGCTAAAAGCCCCACAACTAAGGAGAGGCCCTTATAACTGAACAGATAACTACTAAGCGAGATAATATCTGTTCCTTTGGAAAGCTTTAGATACCTTCAATCAATCAGAGTGCTCAGTTTCTTGGTACCCTATCTGTAACTTAAATTCATTTCGTTACCACGGTGCTCTGTAACCAGCATCAAACTTTTGTACACCTTAATAAGAACTGAAGTCTGAATACAAAGACTTCGATCTAATGTCCTCGACTAAAAAACTATGGCTACTTAGTTGTTCTAATTGTTGCTTAGAAGAACTCTATCACAACTTTGATTGCTTTAATTCTAGTAAATTATTAAGAAAAAGTGGGTCGGTCATTGAAATAAAGAGTTCATTCTTCGCATGGAGGCAACAATTAGGCAAGTTCTTGGGTTATTAAACATATTTTAATATTTCTCGAAAACAATAGTATAAAACTAAAATATCTAGTTTTTACATGATCTGTCAGATCAATTTAGGATTCTTCTTTATCGCTGTCTGGTGCCAATTGGAGATGCCAAATGAAGCCAGGTCCTTTTCCAACTGATCTTTCCAACAGAGTGGAGCACTTCGGCTTCCTCTGCTTGGAATACTCTCAGAGCATTACGTGACACGTAGAATTTGGTCTTTGTTCGTCGAGAGAGGACTTTAATTTTCAATTGCCTACTCAGTGGATGTAGCACCTGTTGGTAAGATTGTGAAGTCACACACAGGTGCCTCTTGAGATTCAACCACTTTAATTTACTACAAGAGACCAGTGCCTTACGCCATAATACTTGTTAAGTAAATAAAGGTTTAATTTCAAGGTATCGTTTTTAGTTCTGAGACGGTTTGAAAACCAACCTCGTCCATCTTTTATTCGGTTATTGAGCTTTCAAAATAATTAACTTCGTAAATTCTGACAAAAAAGGAATTAAAAATGGGCATTCGCCCTCCAAAAATTTACCAAAAGTTTTTTTCATTGGTTCATATATTTACTTTACTTTAAACGAGATATTTCTCATTTCAGTGCTCGGCGAAATGAATAAACTGCAAGTAATATTTCTTTTCTCAGCGGCACTAATGTGTTGCGCACATGCAGCACGCGAAGGCGAAGATGACCGTTGGGTGTGGACCAAACGAAGCGACAACAAGGATCAAGCACGTCGATTTCACGACAGTACAGCCAGGTATCAGGCTGCAAGTTTAAGGCGTAATGAGCGAGCGCGTAATCGGGAACCAACTACCCGAAAACCACTGCCTGGTCAACCGCCAAACGATGAAATCGATGACTATGAAGATGATGTAAATACGAACGTCGCAACACGAAATTACCCTTACCCACCCTTCGGTAATGGTCAGCTATTTGGTGCAAACTTCTATCCGAATATTGGCGGTGGCTTTGGTGGCGCAACTGGCAATGGCAATGGTATATTAGTGGGACCTGGCGGACCGACGGGCGTTATTGGACGTCCCCAACCAGCATATCCGGGTGGATACAACGGCCAACCGGGTGTTGGTTTTCCTGCACAACCAGGCATATTCGGTGGTGGTAATGCCTTAGGCGCGGGTGGACAGTTCGGACAAGCGGGTACCGGTGGCTATGCCGGCGCGGAGGCTGGTTTAAATCCCGGTTTTGGTGGACAGTTTGGCGGTATCGGACAATATCCCGTTGGCGGTCAATTCCCAATTGGGGGACAGTACCCAGGGGGTCCACAATATCCCGGCGTGCAATTTCAAGGCAACCAATTTCCAGCAGCACAATATCCTGGTGCTGGCAGTCCCCAATATACCGAAGGTTACGGACTCGCTTCGGCCGGTGGCGGTTTCCCAGGCTACCTGCAATATAGCACAGGTGGACCCTTTGGTTATGGCAATGCTTTTAACGATGCTGAAAGTGCGAATCGAAAACTGCAGGTTGAGGGCAAAAATGTGGAGGTACTTAAAAGTAGCAAGCTGAGCAAGCAGCAAGTGGATGATAAGATCAATAAGGGACTCACAAAAGTGCCGCATTAAAAAGTTGTCTCAACTCAAATACTGTAGTGTAATAATTAATTGTAATTTATTATAAAATTGTGTGGCTTTAATTGTTTATAGCTTAAAAATATAAAGTATTAAATAGTCATTAAAACTCATCAAAAACTCACCTATAGTTGTGATAACGATGATCGAGTAAAAAAGTGAGCCCGCAAATGTCCACTGCGACTTCGTAACGTCCTCATCCCCATCCCAACCATTCGCTTTTATGGCGGTCACTATTTGTGTTTCGAAACCGGCTAAGTCCTTCTTTACATTGGTGATCCAATCAGTTTCGGACAGCACTGAGGCATTGTCAGAGAAACGCCAAATTTTATCGGTCAAGTTGAGACGCAGGTTTTGAATATCTTTTTTAACCTGAAAAGTTGTAGATTTAGGAAAATCTTCTTCAGAAAATATGCAAAATTTATCAAATTGACAATTTTGGATTTTGTGGACAATTTTTTATTTAAATGTGGCATGGCCAAGACTATCTCACCATGGTTAAAACCACAAAAGCACTTAGGGTGGGCATTGACAGTATCGCATATTTCGGTAGGACTTCAACTATCCTAACGGAGGTACTAGAAGACAGGCTGGCACTCACTGCTCCATGTAGTAATAGCAAGATATACAATACTTCACATGACAGCAGAAGGTTATGGAAAGATTGGTAATGTCATCGTAACACTTGAAAGTCTTAAGTGATGAGACACAACCTTCTCTTCTACCGAGGGACAGCATTACCAAAAGGATAACCTAAAGGAATAACTCCATGCTTGACCTACTACTACGAATAAATCAGAAGGCATTGGTGTAAGCATCGCAAGACGGTGCACCAAACATTTCATGCCCATGGGACATTTTTCGAGCTCTTTCCTAGCTAATGTTTCGGCTATAAGTCGGTGTTCCAATGCATCTAAAGTAATGAAAGTATTGCCATACTCAGCGGCAGTCCAGCGGGATGTTCGGGTGTGACTTTCGACAGTCTGTGCTTCTTCATTCCTCATACAACCGCTATTATCGCCAAAGTACAGAGCCGCGACAAAATCGTCAAGTTGCTAGCTGGCAGCACATGGGGAAAGGACAACTAAACGTTGTTGGCCTGGATGCAGCGTAGCGCAGATGAAGAAGGTGCAAACATCCGTTCCCACGACAGTCGGGTCTACGAAAACCGGAACGGACCCGGATTTTTATCCGGCCAAGGGCTGCCAACTCGGCAGAATTCTGCCGTTACAACAAAAACAACAACAAGGTGCAAACATGTCAGTACACTGCACTCCGGACTACGACAGGATCTTGATGTCTCCCATGGAGCACCTGCATAATGAACTCCTCTATGATAAGTTCCTGCTGGAGTGATTACGTAGAAATCATCCCTGTAGTCACCTGCGCAACTGCCTCCTAGGAGCATAAAGGGGTCATTTACATCTTCACCGACTCCCTCTCAGTGAATGGCGTACTTGGAGTAAAACCACCACCCATTCCAGATGACGAGCTTGAGTTGCCGCGTGAAACGTGAGTAAGCGCAATTTCGTTCTGGATATTGTACCAGATTAACCTCTTACTTATCCAGACTATACCCTGACATATCAAACATATGTCCAGCATGCAATGAGTCCCCGTATGGCGCTAGCCACTTCTTTGTATGCAGTGTTAACCCTACATATCTGACGCCCTGTGTTGTGGCTAGTTGTTAAAGGGTGGCTACAAACTCACCAGGTTTAAAAGTAAACTCAACCTACCCAGAGACAAATTACACTGAGCTCAAGAACCACCTGTTTAACAAATGGGTGGTGTCATCTATGAGCAAAAGGAATCAATGGTCCATATTTCCATAATGATGCGACCGCCTTAATCCGAAATCTTAAATTCTTATGTTTTTAATAAAGCTAATTTCTTGTACATAAAATATTAAATCTCTTCTTGAAAACCTCATGTCCTCCGCTAACCTCGATATACCCAAAATAATTTCGAAAAGTTTTCTTTAGATTTTCATAAATGTGTTATGGGTATAAAATTGCTAAGCAAATCCAACTCACTTCGATTTCGTGTGGCTTTTCCAGATGTTGGAATAGGTAAGCGCCTCCAACACAATATGACACCACCATCAGTACGAGAATCACGTGCGAGACCACGCAGGAAATCACTTTCCATGAGAAACAAATTGCCGTTATACATTTTCCACGGGTCGGCTTTTGATCCAACATATGTGGCGGTAAGGATTGGGCACGCCGCGACGACATGTTGGCGGCAACTAATTACTTTTCCACTTCTTTTCAATGTGTGCTTCTTATTGATAATATATTGTACAAGCGCATATTCAACACAAATCGCAAATAACGGTTATTTTTTTGGAAACAATAACAGTCACATATAATTTATATCTGTATGTGTGCACATACTTATTTGTAGATGTTGCAATATACCTATAAACATGCAATATTTTTTGAAAATCACGCTGTGCAACTGGAGTTTATCACAACGAGTGGATCATCGCAGCCTACAGCACACGGTGACACACACACACACATACGCACACGCTTGGAGAGGAAAATCGAATTTCGTTTATTTTAAAACCGTGCACGCTACTTGTTGCTAAATTTGTTGTATATTTTTGGTGAGATGGAAACTACTAGTGTCTGCCGCTAATGAGACACAAAGGAACCGACACAAGCGCACACACAAAGTAAGTTGTAGAAGATATTCTATGGATACACACACGCAATGTCGAATATTGCACAAATGATTTGGGGAAAATTTTGGAATATTTAATCTCACTTAACACTGTTAAAAAAAATAAAAGCGACTTTTTACTTAAATAAGTATTTTTCCAACAAAAGCTGAAAAAACAGCGTTTTTTATATATTTTTTATATTTAAACACCAATTAACTATATAGCACCTTCAGCGATTTTTCAACCGAACCCAATGTGTACTCAGAGCATACTAAATAGGCCGCCACACATTTTGGAATACTCACAGCAGTTTTTGGCTATACGCTAAGTAAAATAAACAACAAAAGATATTAAAAATACAACAGAAGCAATTTTATTTCAGTTCAAACTGAGGCGGAATACCTTTGAATTGGCTTATCTCTTTGTTTTTCGCTCAATTGCAAACAGAAGATCACAAATATTGAAAGATTAGCAAACTAAGTTCATTCAATTTAATTTACAATCCACAGTTAAGAGCTATAGACAGTTCACATTAATTTATGTTATGAATAATAAAGACAATAATTGCTTGTGATTTTCCACAGCTCCTCATTACCAAAAAAGAAAAAACAAAAAGCAAAATAGTTACCAAAATGCACTCGGGTATGTGGTAATCGTGCAATTGTGTTGATAATCAACAGTGAAACAGATATATATTTCAAAATGCATCGTTGTTCAGTGCGTAAATGCTGCATTGATTTGGCTTACTGGTATTTTGCAATCGTTGGGAGAGGCGCAAAATCTGCGCGTCTTCCTGCACTAACTATTTTTGATGAGCCTCCAACAGAACTGTTAGCAAAATACACAAAAATAACAGATAATTTATTTATACATATACCTTATTAAGCTATATTTAATACTCACCGCCAAAACAATGATGTGCCGCGCTTGAGCTCGCCACGCGCTTGTAGATCATTCCAACAGTCAACCCAGTTTTTGTATTCAGGCATCACTGGCGGCCGGCCAGCCATTAAGCGTGAGCCTGTCACAGCCATGCATGAAGAAACCACTTGGAACGGATACAAAATGCTTGAAAATGCGAACTACAAAGCAAAGAGTTAGCATAATTATATGAAATATTTACAATAAAATCTGAATAATCGTACATACTTGTACAAAGCCAGCATTGTACTGTCGACCAATTTTGTCTTTGATAACATATTTGTTTAATACGAACACTGTGGTGCTTGTGAGCACCAAGCAGACTACATCACAAAGCAGTTTGGGAACTAAACCGGCGAAAAATCCTGGAACACCTTCAGTTTTATAAATTTCTTTGATTGAACCAAATATTGATTGATAAAGAGTTTCTCGTCCAATAAATTGTGCCATCATACGAAGTGAAATCACATGAAATGGATGTGAGACAATTATACCTGATACGCTCAGCACAACATCGCGCTTTAGATTCACTTTAAATTGTACATAACTGCAATACAAAAATGACATTAAAAGTATTTTATTAAATGTGTGTGTAAAACTTACAGTTCTTCATCGGTGAGGTCATTGTCGTCCTTATCCTTATCATCGATTGCTGGCAGACCCACCCTATCAGCAATTTTTTCACTAAAAATCATGCTAACAATAGAACCCACTAATTTGGGCGCAAGACCACGATAACAGCCATAGAAACCATCCATTTTCCTGATGTAACCAGCTATAAAACAAATGTAAACATGCACCTCATGACTCAAATCAATCGTATGTCATATTATAATAGCTATTTGTTCTCGCTGTTTTAACTAACCGTACTGAAAGATATTGGGTAGCACCATAATTGGTTTCCCCAAGAGGGATGTGCCAGGACGTGCCGGTATGGGTTCATAGCCCAGCTGGATAAGCACCTTTGAATATTCAAATGGGTGTAGTGCAGCGCTTACTGCCAATCGCATTCCAAAACGAATCCATTCATTCACTTCTTTATTTTCATCATTGTCATTTATGTTAACAAAAGTGGGATCCAACGCGGCCATGATTCCAACAGTTTTGTGCTAATCTTTAAGTTTCACGGTAATTTTCAACCTGGGAGCGCCTATTTTGATGTTATGGAACCGCCGGCTGCTATAGACTTTACTCCGAATATTCGTAACAAATTGACAGGTTAAGAAAAAAATTGACAGCTGACTAGCTTTGTCAGAGAATATTATACGTTCTCTAGCTTTGTTCATATCAGATTCGGAATACTGAAATGTTCTATTGAACACCGGGTGTCACTAATGCTCAAATTTCACAAATTTCTTTTATTTATATATAAATTCACATAAAATTTGTAAAATTGAGTTGATTATTACTGAAAACAAGAACACACATATTTTTAAAAGCAATTTTGCTTTCAATTCAATAATTTTAAACTACATTTTTGAACAAATTTCAAACATGTTGTTGATCAGCTGTGAAAGAGTTTTTGTTTATGCAACATGCATGCACATGTGTGTGTTAAGTTAATCAATCCGCCAAAATGTACCGCTACTTGCTAAATATTTCATACATTGGCACAAGTTTCCGGTAAATATTTCAATTCTTATATATTTCATTAAAAAGGTATTAAAAGTAAATCGTACATAATAATTTCGCTAGTGGTATACAGAAAACGATAAATAAAGCAGCGGAATCGCAAGTGGATATAAAAACTATACAAGGCTGCATTGAGTTGGCTTGTCGAGCGTTGTATCCCAAAAACGAAATCCAAACCGTGCTTTCAAGTCGGTATGTTGGCATATTTGTTTTCCAAATACACATATTTTGCATATTTTCTTCATTTTTAACTATTTTCATTGTTTTAGCACTGACGCTGGTGTGCATGCATTACATTCCACGCTTCACATTGACTTAGAACGCCATAATTCGGAGCCGTATGAAACTGCTAATATTACCAGCATATTAAATCGCATGCTTCATAAAAATGCATTGCCGATACGGGTATTGAGTACCCAACAAGTTCCGAACACTTTCCACAGCCGCTATCATGCACGAGGACGCACATACTTGTACCGATTTGCGGTGGCCAAAAATGGTATTACTGATACCGATCGCCTGAAGAATCAAAACTTTAAAGCGTTTATACCGGTTGAGGAAATAGACCGTTGCCTTTTTCTACAGTATGTTAAAGAGATTACTTCTATTTAAATTATTCACAATTAGACTTATTTCCATTGTAGAAACGGTAGATTTGAGATTGAACGGCTGCGCGAGGCAACACTAATGTTTCTCGGTTTACACGATTTTCGCACTTTTTCGAGCGTCAGTCGACAACACAGCCCTACACGCGATCATCCTAGATACACAGTACGCACCATCGATGAAATAACATTAAAACCTGGAAAGTCTGCTGCGATCGGCTCAAATGCTGAATTGGCCGAAGACATTTACGATTATTGGGAAATAGAGTTCAAAGCAAAAGCATTTCTTTACAAACAAGTTAGTGTAAATTTATTTATTTATATACAAAAGTAATCCCTATATTTTTAACACAGGTGCGGCGCATTGTTGGCACATTAATCGCTGTTGCTACTGGTCGCATCGATGAACAATCTGTGTATCAAATGCTGACGATCCCATCGAAAAACTCTTGGGATCATCGCGTATTGCTCTCACCACCATTTGGGCTTTACCTTTGTCGTGTGCACTACGATGAAAAAGATTTAAAGTTGCCTATTATTGTCAATGAAAATGAGTTTCCTCCAGCAGCTACAGACTAAACGCAAGGCTTTGAAAGCCACTGCCACCACTGTAACCACAGCAAGTGGCAAACGTTTTATCGAAGCAAACGCAGCTACCTCAACACCCATCCAACAACTACCAGAACAGTGTTATGGTTTTGTAGTTGATACTAAACCAGATACTACACCAGCATGTATTCTAAGCGATTTCCTCTACTTGGGCTCACAAGATGCTGTAAATAGTGAAAATATAAATACATATAAGTTAACACATATTTTAAGCGTTGGCATTGAGACACCACCCTTAGTTGGTGGGAAAGTGTATACCAAGTTTTTGCCATGTCTCGATCTGCCCGAAACGATACTTTCAGAGCGTGTTATCCCAGCGGCGAACCAATTCATTAAGGACGCGGCATTGTCTCGCGGTCGTGTGTTAGTGCATTGTAATGCTGGTGTTTCGCGCGCGGCTAGCATTGTTATTGCTTATTTAATATTAGTGCGTGGTATGCACTTTGACGTTGCCTATCCGTTAGTAAAGTCAAAACGCGAATGCATACAACCAAATGTAGGATTTATTAAGCAGTTAAAACAACTTAAATTAGACGAAGCGTAGTTCTATGTAAGTAATTTTACCTTATAACAGTAGTGTAGTAGTAGTTTAGTAAGTAGCTTTGTAGACGTATTTAGAATATAATTAAGTTGCAAGTTGTTGTAATTATTTAAGGAATTTTGCATACTTCAAAAGTTAAATATACTGAGTCTGTTGCGTGTTGCTCCAAAGTGTGTACACTGCACGAGCATTTTCAATTTTCAGCGAGACCAATTTAAAATCTGTTTGAAATATATTAATTCAGTACAGTTATATGCACGAATTAATTGCCTGTACTTGTAGTGCTAATTGTTTTGACCCTCTGGAACCCTTCTCTCAGTTCAGTATGTAGTAATACATTTTGAATGATGTGATACCCGGTGATAGTGGTTATAGTAGCATGACAATATGCGAAAAAACCGGGTTGTTCCTAGTAAAAGTAAGCACGTGCTTCTCCTGTAAACACCTACCATCGTTAGTTTTCGTCAAAATTGCATTTTAGTAAATTTGTTTGGTTAGTCTTTGTAAAATTTGGGTTTCCTCGCTAACACTTCATTTCACTTTTTCTACGCTGCTTGAGAATTTATAAAATTTTTAGTGTTCTGGTATTCTTTTTTACTTGGCTCAATTGGGATTAGTGAGGAAAGGCTAAGTTCTTGGTAGATATTGCATGTATCTTGTTTTTATGGTATATCATTCTACATAAAATAACAAATATAAATTATACATCTGTTAAGCATATTTTCTGACGATTTTTGACATCTTCGTATTGGTTTTCACAACAGTCGAATCTACGTAAGCGAAAAGAACCTGCTTTTTTATTCCTGTAAGAACTATCAAGTCTGCAGTTTACCTCAGAATTTGTAGTCAGCTTTTTGATACGAAAGCAACAACAATTACGATCTTTTTACCCGGAAAGGGTGAACTTTTCGCTGTAGTTTGCAATACCCAGGGGAGAACTTCGGAAATCGTATAATCTATATAGATATGCATGTATACAAGATGCGTTCCCAAGTAAACAGAACTTAAACAGAAGCAGAACAATGTTTTTTCGGCAAATTCAATTTATTTTATTCAAAATAGTCTCCTTCGGCTTCAATACAGTTTCTTGCACGGTCCAAAAGCATGTGAAACAAGTGTTTTTGCTCGTTGGCCAATATGGCCGCCAGTATGCCGATGCAAGCTCTTTGAATGGCCTCAACGTCTGTATAAAGCTTTCCTTTCATGGGCAAACGCATTTTTCCGAAAAGGAAGAAGTCGCACGTTGCCTTATCAGGTGAGTACAGGGAGTGGTTAATGGTTAAAATGCGATTTTTGGTCAAATAATCGGTCACAAGCATCGATCAATGAGAGCAGTTTTTGGTCGTCAGTCAATTTGTGCGAAACAAACCGTGCACACACCTTTCGTAAGCCGAAATTTTCGGTCAAAATGCTATAAATCGATGTTTTTGAAATGTTCAATTCTATTTCCATGAATTTCAATGATGATTTCGTCTGATTTTTGATGAATTCACGCACAGTTTCGATGGAATTTCCGGTGATCACGGATTTTAATTGGTCATTTATGTCCTTACGACCACTTTGAAAATGTTGAAACCACTCGTGCATTCTGCTACGGGATAGGCAACCATCGCCATAAGCTTGTTTCATCATTTGAAACGTTTCGGTAAAACCAATTTACCAATTTTAAAACAAAATTTAATGTTCATTTTCGTACCGATAACACAAACATATTAACACTTAAAATGCAATAACTTCACTTTCACAATCTATAAAGATAGCAGATTCTAACGCACCACCCGACATATAGATGGTGTCACCAGGGGACGCTAGATTCATAAAGTCCTGTTTACTTTGGAACGTACCTTGTATAAGTGATCAACGTATCGAGCTGAGTCTGACTCGATTTAGCCATGCCCGTCTGGCTGTATATACACGAACTAGTGACTTCAGTTTTGAGATATTGATCTGAAATTTATCAAACGTTTTTTTTTTTTTTTTTTTTTTTTTTTTTTTTTTTTTTTTTTYKTTTTTTTTTTTTTTTTTTTTTTTATTCCAAKCAGCTACTCATTTGTCGGAATCGCCGATAACGGACCACAACCATACGAACTAAACTTTCAAAGTGATGTCCTAGCATGGTAAACTTTTTTGATTGACGATATACCTTTTACAGAATTTAACATTGATTATTGGGTTGCTATTGTTATTGTAGCGTCAAAAAATTTATATTATTTTAGTTATTGCAGCCGTGTAAAAAGCCGGGGCCGTTCCGGTTACGTAGACCTGACTGTTGTGGGAAGGGTTTGTTATTGTAACGGCAGAATTCTGCCGAGTTAACAGTCTTTAGCCGTATAAAAATCTTTGATAATTGATAAAGCAACAATACAATCTCCGAAGAAATTGTTCAGTTCGAACCACTTCTTGTAAGGAAGTTCTTTTGTATTTGTTAAGTGCATTTCAGCTGCGGTACAGTTAACGTTTTGAGATAACTCCCTTGGCCGACTAGAAATTTCAAACCATTCTACCCACTTAGAACCAACTCGGACGCCGCTGTTAAACATTTTCTCTACCCCCTCGATATGTAAAAAAAAAGAAACAAGTTACATTTCTTGTCTACATTAAGATTTATTGAATTTCATAATTTCCTCTCTTCTACAAGAGGTACAATAGGATACCAAGCCGCCTTGTATCGTTCGTTTTCTTCACTAACATAGGAATACATACAATTTATGATATATATTTATATATATGTATATAGTGTGTTGTAATAATTTAAAATAAATGCTTAATAAAGTTAATCTTAAAGATTTTCTGACTATGTCGAAATGTGTGAACGCCAACGTTTCGGTTAGGCGTTTCGGTTAGGAAATACAAAATGTACAATGTTATGACACGCTTGTTTGCTTAAGCACTTCCACGAGCTTTCAGAGACAAAAAAAAAAATTCTAATAATAACAACTAAAACTATAAAGTATGAAATTTCAATTTACAACGGTATACATAATTTAAGAGGGATATGTTACAACGGTAAAGAAATATGTACAACAAATTTAAATAAGTTAAGCTTTATATATACATACATATATACGTGCATATGCGTCTATGTATTGTATGTATATATGTATATATATATTTACAAATGTACTTTTAGAAATTTCGCAATTAAGTTAATAATCGCTTGAACCAACTTCGCTTAAAATATCACATTAAAAATTAAATATTAAATTAAAGTTACTAAATTACATACACATGCGTGTAAATATATCTAATATATAAATTTATGCAAACACGCGCGAATGTTTCTTGCTGTTGTTGTTATGTATAGGAAGTGCCAGTCGCCCGTTCGTTCGTTGGACACATTTTCTAAATTAAAACAAACTGCTCTTCCAATAGTTGTCAATTTACGATGTATTTATGTTCGTATATATGTATGTATTTGTTATTATTGCAATACCGTTTAAGATTTTCGCTTTAAACGACAAGAATTTGGCTTTTGATTATGTCGGCACGCTTGGCCTAGCAGTCAGCTTCCGTTCGATTATGTAATGCTTGTGCTATAAATTAGCGTTATATGCTATAACTCCATTATATAGGTATGTAGGTATATAAAATGTTGCTGGAAGCATAAAGCATTGAAGCACATTCACTATGTAGTACGTAGTTATCTTAGCTGCGATTTCGTAGAAAAGTCTTCCTCACACTAAGTAGCGCTGGGTTCTATGCCAACTTGTGGAAGACTTTGGAAGCCTTTGACAAACAATAAATGGCGGTCGTACGACCGCATTTCGACTTATAAACTTAGCTGCACGGCCTGCAGCATGGCCACTTTGAGATCCGCCGCCAGGTGACTTATATCCACCACAGAGTCCACCATCTCCTGCACCGCCGTAACGCTGGGAAATTGCGCCGCTGCCTTTTTGGACTTTTGCACGCATGTCTTGAGCGCCTCCGAGAGCGCATCTGTGCAGCGTAATATCTTTTCCCGCAGCTCCGCCTTAGAGACATTGCGATGCACTATATCGCCAATGGTGACCAGGTTGTGCGCGCTGACGACAACAAATTTGCCGTAGGCAATAAAGAATTTCGGTGGCTGATTCTTCTCGACCGTCTCCAAGAAGGAGTCGATCGCTTGCTGTAGATTACCCATGTGCGTCGATATTTGCACGGCATAGTAACATACCAATTTCTTATCCTTAACCGTTAACTCGGGCTTTTTTGTGTTGGCGTTCGTTGTTGGTGCATTTGACGCAGCCATAACGGTGGTTTCTGCCGCTTTTATGACCGTATCGAAATTTTTCTTCAAGTTGGCCGGTATTGCCTCACGCAGCGCCGAGTTCTTGCGCGCTGCCGCATCTTTCGACTCGAAGGAAACATAATCATAGTCTTCCACCCACTCGGAACTGCCGCGATTGGGCGTTTGTGGCGCTTTTGTTGTGTCAGCGCATTTCGCGCTCTCCTCCTCATCGGCGCCGCACTCGCTCAGATTGCGTTTGAACAGCAGCGATGCGTTGCCGTGTATGAACGAGGTGGTTTGGCGCACATCTTCGGTCAGCGTTTGCGCGCATGCAATCAGCTGATCGAGACTATCGGGCGGCTTGTTGTTGGTCTTGAATTTCTCTTCGCTGCGCATCAGCTGCTCGATGGCCCAGCCCTGCGCGTCCAGCGTCTCTGTGGTGTCGTGTATCAGCTTGTCGGCATCGCGCAGCGCGCGCACATGCGGTCGCAGCTTCAGCGCCAAATTGCGATCTTCGGAGCGTGTCGCATTGCCCAGCGCACCTTCGCCGAACTCGCTGAGATCGTGCAGCGCGGTACGCAAACGCACGGCCGTCAATTTGACATCCATCAGCACGGGTTCCAGTTTCTCGCGCTGCCGCCAACTCGGCGTAACAAAGGAAAGCAATCTGCAAAATAATATAATTATTAAAACATGCCGCTTGCGGTCTCAAAAACGCTTGTGCTACTCACTTTGTGATTGCGGTCTTGGCCTCGAATTGCAATTTATCCAGCGTGTACAGCGCCGAGGACAACTCCAGCGGCAGCTCCTTGCTGGCCGCGGCGGCCATTAGCGTGGCATTGGGCGACGATTTCTCCGCCAGCGGTGTGCTCAGATTCGACGGCAATGGAAAGTCGTATGCGGCACCGTTCACGCTTTGCGTCGGCGTTTGACGGTGCTGCAGCAACAGCTGCTGTTGCTGTTGTACGGCGCGCACCGGCAATGGATTGCGACGCGGCACATCATAGTCGGGCATATTCGCCAAAGACGAGCGATTCGA